CACAGTGCACTGCCCTGGGTAACCTGAGCAGCTTCCCTGCAGCAGCCTCTGCTCCCCACGCCATCGGGCCAGGGGTGGGGCTGGCATTTGCTGTCCACTCGGCCTGTCCAGAGAAGACAGAATCACACGCCTCACCTTCCCTCCTGTCATTTGCATGGCTGAGGCAACGACTCCCTCTCCTGTCTGTCCATTGCTGTGTCAGCCATCATGGGGACACCAAAGCGCCTTGCCCCCATCTTGTTCCCAAACAACTCTTCTTCTTGGGCTCCGGGGACAGCACCACCCTCCCCCGCCCCACCACACGCACGCTCCCATCCTTAGCTCAGCTCTGCCTGTTGGAAGGGGCTGAAATGTGGTGGGATACTCGGTGCTCCTTGTGGTGCAAGCTGCCTTTCCAATACGCAGGGAGGAATGTCGATTTGGAGCGCTGCAAAGATGCTGGATTAGTAGCTGTGGAGAGTAAAAAGCCTGCTCGTTATCCCTCCCCCCCAGAGCCGATCCAGGACATGGGTGCATGGACCATTGAGCTTTAAAATGCCCCTCTGCCCCACACCCACACACACTTGGGGTCTTTGGTGTACTCAGTTCTCGGCCTCTGGCCTGAAATCTCCAATTAATGCCAATGTGCTGGCGTTGAGTGGAGATGCAAAGCCTTTCTTGCCACAAGCTGGACTGAGATCCATGACGCTGGTGTCCAGCAGATGGGGATGTCCTCTAGCTACCCCAGCCTGCCTCTGCCCAATATTCGCCACTCCGTGTCTCTGCTCCGAAAGATTTCGCAGATCCAGAAAAGGCTGAATCCCAGCGGTGTGTGATACAGAGCAAGGCTGGGACCCCTCATGAGACGTGCCCTCTGACAGCTTGATGGATGGAGATTTCAAAGAAAGGCTGAGATCTGAAATGTTTCCTCAACACCCACAGCAAAGTCTTTCTTCAGAGGAAGATGCTTGAAAACACCCTTCAAAGAAATGCAGAATGAGGGTGTTTCCTTCCAGCTACGTGGGACCTGTCCAAGTAATGGGAGGCAGAGAAAAGGCCATGGTAACTTTGTCCCATTAAAACTACAGAGAAACCAGAAATACAATGTCACCGCCCTTTCCCGTGACTGGGAGCTGCTCAGATCTGCCAGCTTCCAATTCCCTTGCTCTAGTCCAGCCATGCTGTGTGACCTACAGCCGCATGCACTAGAAACCTAGCTCTCTGCATGTAAGGAAACGTGTTAGGGGGCTTCAGCCCTGGCACAAATGGGTGTAGGAAATGTGCCCACATATGCCTCTGTCAGATTGGGACCATGAGGTTTGGCCATCTGCATGGAGGTTATTGGCAAGCTTCTGGTTGAGGAAGAGACCATGCTAATCGCTGTACACGCCCCCTTCAGCCCACACCTCAGTGCAGAATGTTAATTTCCAGAGGGGAAGGATGACCCAGAAGTTAGGGCAACAGCTTAGAACTTGGGAGACTCTGTTCACTTTCTTGCTCTGTTGCAAGCTTCCAGTGTGACCTTAGTCAAGTCACTTAGATATGAAACTGACAAAGTGGGTCTTTGCCCTCGAAAGCTTACGCTCCAATAAATCTGTTAGTCTATAAGGTGCCACACGACTTCTCGATGTTTATGCAGATTCAAACTAACATGGCTACCCCTCTAATACTTGTCATTTAGGGTATGTCTAGACTCCTTCCCTCTGTCAGCAGAGGGATGCAGATTAGGCAGATCGACATTGCAAATGAAACAGGGATTTAAATATCCCGCACTTAATTTGCATAACAATGGCCACCGTTTTTGCCGACTCAGAACTCTGTTGGCAAAAAATGGCAGTCTAGAGGGGGATCTGTCGGGAAAGAAAGCCTTTTTCGACAGATCCCTTATGCCTCCTGCAAGGAAGTTTACAGGATCTGTCGAAAAAGACTTTCTTTCTCCACAAATCCCGCTCTACACTGCCGCTTTTTGCCGACACAATGCTGAATCAGCAAAAACGGTGGCCGTTTTTATGGAGGATCAGTGCGGGATATTTAAATCTCCTCTTCATTTGTAATGTCGACCTGCCTAATCTGCATCCCTCTGCCGACCGAGGGATGCAGTCTAGACATACCCATGTTTACACTGTGCCTCAGTTTCCCTTCCAGAAATCAGGGATAACGGCACCTCCCTGTGTCACGTGGCAGGTGAGGAGAAATACCTCGAAGATTGCAAAGTATTAGGTGAATGGAAGCCTTCAAGGTACTAGATGGATAGAGGCCTGTGCAGATACAAAATTTGTATCCATATTCTCATCCATAGCCACAAAAAGGAGCCTCATGTATCTGTATTCCCATCTCTGGCTGTGGATACCCGTGGATATAAAGCAGATATCTGCACATTTGCAAGGTTCTTGATACAAAATTTGTATCTGCATCCATATCTGTGATAAAGAGCCATGGCTATCCGCAGCTACATCCATGGATATGGATACCCACGGATATAAAGAGAGATCTGTGGATTTGCAGGGCTTTATAGATAGAACATACTTTTTGCTGAAAAGTCTATATCCAAACAACACCCCCACCCCTTCTTCTGGCCCAATCCTCTCAATGTTTGGAATGTTTGAAATCTGTGAACCAAGGGGAATTTTCCAGACCTCCATTCATCATTCTAATGGGCTGAACCAAAACACCAGTTTTGAATACTCACTACATGTGTTGCAGCGCTCAGACTCCACATCCAGATCAGAGCCCGGCTGCTGGCTCCGTGGTGCTGAGTGAAGTATAACTACCCATTCGGTTTTCAAATATCTAAAAGGGTGTCACAAGGAGGAAGGAGAAAATTTGTTCCTCTTGGTTTCTGAGGACAGGACAAGGAGTAATGGGCTTAAAGTGCAGCAGGGGAGGTTTAGATTGGACATTAGGAAAAAATTCCTAACTGTCAGGGTGGTCAAATATTGGAATAAATTGCCAAGGGAGGTGGTGGAATCTCCCTCTCTAGAGATATTTAAGAACAGGTTAGATAGACATCTGTCAGGGATGGTGTAGACGGAGCTTGGTCCTGCCTTGAGGGCGGGGGGCTGGACTCGATGACCTCTTGAGGTCCCTTCCAGTCCTATTATTCTATGATTCTATACCCAGAAGCGTGGGGGCAAGGCTATCGTAATTTTGTGCCATGAGAAATGTTACTCTGGGTAGCTAGCTCTGGGGCACAGTCTCAAGCAGCTGGTATAAACTCCTGATCCTCAACAGGTATAAACTGGTATAGTTCTGTCAACTTCGACAGAGTAACAGTGATTTCTGTCCTATCAGCTGAGGTGCTTGTCCCTGGTCACAGCGAAACAGACAGAAATGTTGGGTCAGGTGAATTTCTGGTGTGTCTGACTCCAGTGAATGTGCAGCTAGAGATGAATTTGGCCCCTAGCTTGATTATGATAAGTCATTTCTCCTTGTCAGTGTGTAAAACAGACTGAAATTGTGTCTGCTCGCTGCTGTTGTCTGTTCTATTAGACCGAGCCCCTCGCTCTGCTTCGCTCATGTATGGAGCACTCTAGCTTGCATGACAGCTCTCTCCCTGGGGCCCTCATAAAATGAGCTGTGCGTATCTCACTAGGTGAGTGCAGTCAGCAACATTATAAATAAATAAATGGGAGAAACATGTTGGTGTTGGTTCCAGCATTTTGAGCCGATTCAGTCATGATTGTTAATAAAGGTTTCAACCCAGAGACCCTCTTTTCCCCCAATCTCCTTGCAAACACTGAAAGTACCCACACCCATTGGGATCTAGCAAACAAATGTCAGGTGCAAATAGCCAGCTCAGCCCTGAGATCACACAGCTGTTACTCCAGATCTCAAGTGGATGAACTTCCACAAAGCTTTCACATTTAACATTTTCACCATTTCTTGCAATGGTTTGACAGCGCAAGCACCCTTCTGTGTGTGGCTGTGGAGGCCTCAAGCTTCCAGGATCAAACTCTCTGAAGAAGTTAAAATATTTGTTTATATAAAAACCAGATATCAACTGTTACCACAGACATTTACCAAGCCCCAGAACCTCACAGCATCAGGTGCTCTGCAAAACTCCCCCCTCCCCCCGTCGGTCTCACACACACACACCTGCAGGCTGGGAATTATTCAGGCTTTTGAAGGAGAAAAAACTCTAAATTTGCCAGCACAAAGTGCTGGGTTTTCAGTGGCCAGTGCTTTTGGTTTCACATCTTGTTCTTTCTAGGTTGTGCTTCTAAACTGCCATGGATGTGTTCAGAAGTCACCTGTGTATTGTTCTATCCAGGTCTGGGAGTGGTAGCTTGATTTCCTGTGTACTGCCCTTTCTGTTTCAAAGAACTCTCCCTGCATGCAGAGGTTAGCAGCCATTTTGTTCTCAGAGTCGGTGTAGATTGTTGCATAGGGGGTGCACACGCTGCTTTCCCCGGGACTTGTTCTTTCTTGTTGCTTTCCATAACCCTGTTATGGGCTGAAAGGACATGTGCTGCTCTTTTGTTTTGCAGCATAAGATCATGGACAGGCTCAAGCAGCCTCAGAGGTCTTTGTCATTCTTTCTTGTTTAATCTGAGTCTCCCTCCTTTCTGTGTTGCCTTCACCCTATTTTCTTTCCTTCTGGCCCCTGTTTTGTGTGAGACCCTTCTCTGCTAGTTCATGCTTTCCTGCATCTCACCACGCAATCAGTCCTTCATCTCATTTCAAATCTCTGCTGAAAACGTATCCCTTGTCTCTTTTGTCTATGCCCCCTAAGTGTCAGCCTGCCTGCTGCTATGTTTTGACTCTGGGGCGCAGCTAATGGGCAAGCAACAAAAGAAAGTGAAGTTGCATGATACTGAGAGTGGGTTATGTTCTCCCACCAGCCACAGCCCGGTGGATGCCAACTGCCTTGGGGTTGCAGGGGCGTACCAGAGCACAGTTTGGTCCATGGTTGCCATTTTCACTACATGTGCCCTGCCACTGGAGGCATAGACCTTGCAAGCAACAGGTAGCTTGGCTTAAGCTTGTAAACTGCATTCTTTCTCTTGTCTGTTTCTTTGCAGTTCCTCCAGATGACCCAGTAATTGCTGGGGGCCCGGTCATTAGTCTGAGAGCTGGGGATCCCCTGAATCTCACCTGCCATGCTGATAATGCCAAGCCAGCAGCCTCCATCATCTGGATGCGGAACGGAGACGTGATAAATGGAGCCACCTACTCCAAGGTCAGGGGGGCTGGAGTTTGCGATAGGGCTGGGGACTTGGAATTGCTCTTCCGCTCACCTCATAGAGGTGTCCTTCGCTCATCACGGGCTGGAGCAGAACTGTGGCTCGTCTTATGCATCCAGGGCCATGTCCTCAACCGGTGTCAGTTTCAATAACCCCACTGAGTTGTGGTTGCCAGAACCCCCCGGTGTGGTCTCCTGGCAGGTCTCTTGCTCTATCCAGTGATGATAACCATTCAGCTGCATGCATGTGCTCCCTCCGTATATTATATTATCTCTGCACAGATAGCTAATATCATAGACTCCAAGAGAGCCCCCCAAAACCACAAATCACATAAGGATGGAAGGCACCCAGCCAGGTTTATTGTAAATGAAGCATAGAAATAGCTTCCCCAAATTAGATGTCCACAGGTAGGCTAAGAACGTGTGCCCGTGATAATGGACGTGACTCAGCCAGTGAGCGGTCTCACTGCCCCCTAGGGGGTGCAAAGACAGCTAACTCCCTTGGGGTACATTTTTATACATAGGAACAAACAAGTTACACATCATTCCTGATGTATCAGGTTGCCACCCTCTGACATACCTAGATCCACTCATTTCCTTCTACATAGGAGTTGGATCTCTGTCTGTCATGCTGTCAGGTTTAGATCCTGCCCTAAACCTGGGTCTGTATGTACCTGTTATTGGGGGAGTGGGAGGAGGAGGTGTTGGTACCAAGATGTTTCTTCATGAGGTTTTTCTACCATTCCTCTGGAATGTGCTTACGGCCTGTGCTTAGTACCTCTTAGATAGGAGTGTTTCTGTAATATCAGCCCTGTTCTTGCCAACTTCTGTGAGCAGGGCCTGCCTCTTGCTCTCAACTTCACTATGCTTTATTTTAGCAAAGTCTTGACCACTGCTGTCTAGGCCTCAGGCCTCACACCAAGCCTGCAATGCCTGGGCTTATGTTTCAGGCCCTCGTGTTACTACATGACTCAGTGGTGCTGTGCTGACTTGCACCAGCAGAAGTTAACTACCTGATGGGGGCAGTCCAAAGAGGATGTAGAGAGGCTGTTCTCAGTGCTGACAGATGGCAGAACAAGGAGCAATGGTCTCAGGTTGCAGCGGGTGAGATATCCTAGGTTGGATATTAGGAAAAACTATTTCCCTAGGAAAATGATTTCCCTAGGAGGGTGGTGAAGCACTGGAATAGGTTACCTAGGGAGGTAACCTAGAAGTTTATAAAACCCAGCTTGACAAAGTCCTGGCTGTTGCATAAAAAAGCCTCCGCCTGAGCTTACTTGATTTTACACATGCATTTTCTGAAAATACACTAACTGCAAGCTCTAAGACTTTAAATTGCAACTCATTGTAATCTGTGTCAAACTTTTCAACTTTGTAACACTCAGCAGCTTTGCTTTATAAGTTCAGAAACTTACTGTAAGCTGCAACTTTGTAAGCTTTGTGACTCTCAGCCACTTTGTTTGTAACTTGCTCTAAACTGCATTGTCTCCTGAGAGAGAGAGAGAGAGAGTGTAACTGCAAGTCTAGGAACATAGAGCACATGGTTATGAGTCATCAAACTGCTGCTTTGCTGGATAAAGGGAAGTCTGGGCATGCTCCCTGGTGAGGAGGTGAATGAGTCACAGGGCCTATTCAGTCACAATAAAAGGAGAGGGAGCACATGTGAAACTCTCTTCTTTTTCTTCCCTTGCTCCTGAGAAGCTCCTCTCTATAGCTAGTGTCTCTCCTGACCAGCTCCCCAGCCATAATGAGCAGACAGACCCTCCAGAACCAACATGCCTTGTGTCCTTCTACAACCTGTAAGTGTGTGAGTGCCTGAGGGCAGGAATGAATGTGTGTGAATAAATGGAGGTGTGTGTGTGTGTGTGTGTGTGTGTGTGTGTGTGTGTGTGTGTGTGAGAGAGAGAGAGAGAGAGAGAGCTGGTTCTCCTTTAGTTTAAACCTTTGGTGGGAGTTCTCTATCTTCTTTAGTTTAACATCTAGTGCATATAGTGGAGTGCTAATTCCTCAAACAATAAACCCATGCTACTGTAACCCTGGGTGGTCTCCAGTGGGAATTTTGGGGAGTAATACTGGCTGGGATGATTTTGTGGGGTTTTGTCCTGCTTTGGGCAGGGGGCCATGACCCCTTGAGGTCTCCTCCAACCCTAGGATTCTATGATTTATGATCTAGCCCCAAGTTTCTTGGTGTTTCTCCCTCTGTTTCCAGACGCTTGGCTGCTGGGACAGCAGAGATAATTGGGGAGCCAGAAGGGCAAATTTGAACATGACGCAAAGCTTCTCTTAGCCCTTCAGTGAGTTGTCCATTAACTTAGGCTGACTCAGACTTACCCACTTATTAACACACAATTTTACGTGCTGTCTCTGAACACTCCCATTGGTGTCAGCTTGTGTTGTCCTCAGGGAAGTGCAAATGCAGCAGTGGATGGGTGTCACCCAACAGATCACAACCACTCACTGATGCCGCCCTGAGGCTGGAAATGGCCACAGCAGTGACATGGCTCTGGGTCCAGAACTGATCGTTCTCTCCCTTCCCCTGGTACAGTGATGCTAAGAGGCTGTTTGGCAGGGCAGCTGGGAGGAAATGAGTCTCTGGGGATGGCAGGGGATTGTCTCCAGAGCCCTGAACAGCACATCAAATTGAATACGTTGAGCAGCAACCTCTGGCAAGCAGAGAACACTAGCTTCCTCTCTTAGCAGTTTCCATCCCAATTAGTGACACTGTGAGTGATGGGCAGAACGATGGCTTGGAGTTACTGTAGTCTTGGATTGACAAGATTGTGCTCAGAAGTGAAACCGAGAGGGTGGCTGAATGCGGCTCTAGGAGCCAAGAGGTGTGGGGTCCTAGTTTCAGCTCTGTCCTTTGTGTCATCTGGTAGTTTGTGGCACCTAGCTCCAAGTTCTGATGCCTAAAAACCTATTCCCATATGGGAGGAGGAATAAGTTTTATTTATAGGTGCTAACTCTGTGGGTGACCCATGCCTGTTCCTTCCCTGCCCTCCCAGTGCTACCAGAATCCAGTGAACAGCTGATTTGCAGCATTCAGAAGCTGGAGGAGGGCTGGGGGAGGAGAGCAAGCATCGGATGCTCCCCGGGAGACGGCCATACTGGGTCAGACCAAAGGTCCGTCCAGCCCAGTATCCTATCTGCCAACAGTGGCCAATGCCAGGTGCCCCAGAGCGAGTAAACTGAACAGGTAATGATCAAGCCATCTCTCTCCTGCCATCCATCCCCACCCTCTGACAAACAGAGGCTGGGGACACCATTCCTTACCCGTCCTGGATAATAGTTATTAATGGACTTAACCTCCATGAATTTATCTAGTTCTCTTTTAAACCCTGTTATAGTCCTAGCCTTCACACCCTCCTCAGGCAAGGAGTTCCACAGGTTGACTGTGCACTGTGTGAAGAACTTCCTTTTATTTGTTTTAAACCTGCTGCCCATTAATTTCATTTGGTGAACCCTAGTTCTTATATTATGGGAACAAGTAAACAACTTTTCCTTATTCACTTTCTCCACAGTACTCATGATTTTATAGACCTCTATCATATCCTCCCTTAGTCTCCTCTTTTCCAAGCTGAAAAGTCCTAGGGACCTAGTCTCTTTAATCTCTCCTCATAGGGGACCCGTTCCAAATCCCTAATCATTTTAGTTGCCCTCTGAACTTTTTCTAATGCCATTATATCTTTTTGAGATGGGTCAAGGGTAAGGGCTTGGAGAAAGGGGTGGAATGGGGGCAAGGTGGTAAGAGGTGAGGACTTGGGGGGAGAGGGGAAGTAGGAGCAGGGTCTGGGTTGGGGATGGGGGTGGAGAGTTGAGAACGTCCTGGTGGAGAGGGAATTGGCACCTATGGTTCAGTGTTCCTTCTAAGCTGCATGGTAGCACTGTTTCACAGGTGATTAATCAACCCCACCTCGTCAGTCAGCTCTGAGCCTCTGGCTGGGCAGAGCTGATTAATCCCCTATTAAGCTGTGCTGCCCCACAGCTTAGAGGGAACACTGCTACGGTTGTATTACAGTAGTACACAATCTGCGGGCTGCATGCGGCCCATCTGGGTTCTGCGAGTGACACACAAGACATTTTGTTTACCATTGCCTATGAGCAGGATGGCCAGATTGTGCTAGTGTGCTTCTACGTAGCCTTTTCCTACCAGTACTACTAAAATGACACGTACCTAAAACAAGGACACATGAAGTGAGGTGCGTGCTGATTGCACACAATACTGATTGTGAGAGCTAGGCCCTCCCTCTGCAGCCAATCAAAGCGCTGTGACAGTTCAGTCGGCACCTCCCACCTCCGCACAGTCTAGGCACACAAACTACAGGACTACCCATTATAAATTATATAGCGATAGACTCATAGAACCGTAGGGTTAGAAGGGACCATAAGGGTCATCTGGTCTAAGCCCTTCCAAGATGCAGGATTTGTTGTGTTTAAACCATCTGAGGCAGAAGGCTCCTTTTGAAAACCTCCCGCTTCTATGGCATCCTTGGGCAGTCTGTTCCATTGTCCTAATTGTTCTTACAGGTGGGCATTTTTTCCTGAGGTTGAATCTAAATCTGCCTTGTAATTTGAACCCGTTGCCATTTCTCCTCCCTTCTGTGGCAAAAGAGAACAGCTTTTCTCCATGCTTTTTATGGCAGCTTTTCAAGTATCAGAAGACCACTTTCATATCTCACCTTCATCTCCTCTTCTCCAGAATAAACATACTTAGTTAATTCAGCCTTTGCTCAGATGGCTCTCATCCCATCACTTTGAGAGTCCTTGGCACTGGCCTCTGGATCCTTTC